ACCTCTGGGGTTGTTTTCAGGGATGTAGACAGAATAGGAGGAGTGGGAGAAGGCAGGTGGGTTGTCGTTGGTATCTGCCACATTCACTGAGATGTGAGTTTCCATGGACAAGGGTGGGGTTCCACCATCTGTGGCTTTCAGTGTGATGTTATACACAGGGAGTTTTTCCCGGTCTAGGTTTTTCGCTGTCACCAACCTATAATAATTGTCTACTGATCTTTCTAATTTAAAAGGCAGATTTTCTGAAATAGTGCAGGTCACCTCACCATTCTTGCCGGAATCTCGATCTTGAAGGTAGAAAAGAGCAATTACTGTTCCAGGAGGAGTGTCTTCAGGGATTGAGTTGCTTACAGATGTTAGAGTCACTTCTGGGGTATTGTCATTCACATCTAAAATTGTGATAATTACTTTAGCCCTTGTCATGCTACCAGGACCGTCCTGAGCCTGAACTTCCATTTCATAGTAGCTGGACTCTTCATAATCTAGGCCTTCTGAAGTTGATAATTCTCCTGTATGAGGGTTCAGTTGGAATATCTGTAGAATTTTTTGAGTTATTTTCCGGAAAGAATATGTCACTTCCCCATTGGCTCCCTCATCCAGATCGACAGCGTGTACTGTGAGCAATCTTGTGCCCACTGGTACGTTCTCAGGGACAGTTACTTGGTACTGAGGCAAAGAGAAGACTGGCACGTGATCATTCACATCCACCACAGTTACCTGGATGCGGGCGGTTTGCGATCGGGGTGGGTCACCGCCGTCAGAGGCTGTAAGGAGTAGGTGGTGAACAGCCTCTTCCTCTCTATCCAGCACTCTTTCCAGCACTAATTCTGGATATTTAGCTCCATCATCTCCAGTCTGCACAACCAGGGAGAAGTGACGATTGGGACTGAGCTGGTAGCTCTGGAGGGAGTTCGTGCCCACATCTGGATCCCTAGCCTCATTTAAGGGAAACCGCACCCCAGGAGCTGTGTTCTCCGTTATTTTTACAGTCATTTCTTCTGTCAAGAATCTAGGAGAATTGTCATTAACATCTATTATTTCCACTTCTATAGGGTAAAGACTCATTTTATCCATCAGGATGTTAAAGTTCACCAGGCACCGTGCACTCTGAGCGCAGAGCTCCTCCCGGTCTATTCTGCCTGCAGTGACCAAGCTGCCGCTTCGCGGATTCAGAGCGAAAAGCTGTGTCCTACCTCTGGAGACGATGCGGATTCCGTGCTCTGCCAGTTCCCGGGGCTCCAGGCCCAGATCCTTAGCGATATTACCCACAAAAGACCCTGTGTCTGTTTCCTCCGGCAAAGAGTAGAAAATATGTCCTGCCCAAGCTTCTCTCCGGGTCCCCAGGAGGATGGAGAGCAGGATGAATCCTCTGTAGTCTCGACCCCTCTTCAGAGTCGCCATTGTTGTCCTGCTGATCTTGTTAGACACTGGACTATCTCTTTTTGCGCTTATGGATGCCAGTGTGTCAGCGTGGAATCCTTTGTATTCATAAGAGAAGCCCGGAATTTAGTATAATAGAGACCGGAGTTTGATGCAGCTTGGAAGAGAATTTGTCTCAATCTGATGTTTCTTTGTACTGTAAAATCTCGGTGGCTCTGGCAGATCTTATTGCACCACTTTCCCCGTGGTTGGTGAACAGCGGCGCTCAGAGTCCTTACTAAGTTACTGCACCATATTGAAGCAAGATAACTGATTTTTCAGAAAGTTGTTTTATCCTTCAAAATCCTTCCATTTATATGTCTTCGATCTATATATCTAACTTAAAAATACATTCCAGTTAAATGAAATAATGCAACAGTGCTTATGATGGATGCTTATTAATTCAAGATAATTACATTTTTTTTTCCTCTTTTGCATTGCAACTTTGAAATGATGTTGGGTGCTACCTCAGACTTCACTGAACATGGAGTAAAAGTAGTGTTTTCAGGTAAAAAAAAGTACAACTTATTTTGAAAAGGTGTGTGTATGTATACATAAGAAAGATGCTATGTAGAAATCGTTTTCATCAGTATAATAAATTTAAGTTAATTCATTAATATTGAACACATACTATGTTCTAGACACTACCACGTAAGACTCAGTGAAAATTTTCTTTAAGATACAGACAGGTCATTTAATTAAGTTTTTGATTGGAAGGAACCTTAGAGATGATTTAGTCCAATACCTTCATTTTAATGATTTTAAAAATAAGAGGAAATTACCTTGTCCTTGATTATATATATAATAGTATACGTTGGAATACAAATATCATCACTTCCAGTGTTTTGAGCAGAAAAAAGAAAACCATTTGCCTTGGCTGATGCTTTATGCTCAAAAAGTGCCATTAGAGATAAGGCGAGAACCCAAGCAGTAACAGTCAGCTATAGACGAAATTTTGTACAGAAGGCAGGAATTTGCAGAGATTCTACTAGCTGTGGAGTGTTAAAGTGGATGTTGACTGCTTCTCTTCATTATGCAATTCAAATAATCTTCCTACTCTAGATGATTATTCTAGAATAATTGAAAAAAGATGGGCCTCCAGATAGCCTTTGAGCATACAAACAGAACTGTCCTGAGGAGATCATTAGAGGTACCAATTTTTCCACTGATGTTAAGTAAAACTGAATTGTTGATGGCTCAGTTCTTCTCAGCTTATAGAAATAAAGTTCCTTCCACATAGTTGCAAGAGAAAAGAGAGTTACCTGTTCTGAAATGAAGACCTGGCAAGAAATAACCCTACTTCATGGGGCGCCTGGATGGCTCAGTTGGAAGAGTGTGCAATTCTTGATTTTGAGATTGTGAGTTCAGGCCCCATGTTAGGTTTAGAGATTACTTATATAAATAAACTTTTTAAAAAAGAAATAACCTTGCTTTGTAAATTATTTTAAGCCATAGGGGAGTAGATAGCAGCACCAGGAAGAGAAATCAAAAGTAGCACTGAAAATGCTTGACTTAGTTGCTGGAGATTTCCTAACTACGTAACCTATTTCTGCTCTCTGATGGCACTGGTCCAAAATATAGGCAATGCTTTGAATGAAATGCTGTTTTAATCTATCAAAATAATTTACAGCCATGTTTGTTTTCACCAAGTAGACAGAATAACTTTTTGTTCAAAGGAGCCAATATGAGTATTACAGATTAGTTCCATAAATAGGAGTTAAATACTATTTGTTTAGTAGTAATTTTGAACTTCTTGTTGACATAAGCAAAGTCATTAAAGATCATGAGTACTTGCAGACATTTTTAAACAAAACTTTTATGTCTGAATATTATGGCTGCCAATGTTGTGATCTTTTTTCTACCTAACACTTCAAAAATCATAGTGTCATCTTACATTTCTTTCTTATTCTACTATTTTTAAAAAGTCTCAGTTAACTTATTACTTCTGGATACCTTATTTGGAACTAAATAAGTAAGATCTAGATGAATAAGATTATGAACATACTCTGAACATAAAGCATACTTTAGGGAATAACTGGCTTTATATCTCTAGTAACCAATTTTTCTAAGTTACTCTACAACATAAATTTAAATATTAAAGATCTCTACTAGACCAATGAGTTATGTTAAATATAACATAGGCTTACCATATAAAACTGAAATAAGTTTATAGTTTTAAAGGAAGTATGTTATTATTGATTGAGTTATTAGGAAGAATGGACCTTCACCTGTTTACTTGCATAAAAAATTCTATGGAAAAAATTGTATGGAAAGTCTAATTGACTTCCTAGGCATCGAGTTATTCATCGTCTCTCCTTTCTTTATGGAACTTTTTTTCTATTGAGAAAACATTGTTTGGAGTTCTGTTTAGATTTACATTCCCAGGCAAACATGTAGGTATTTTCCATTTCTCTCTGAGATTTTTACTTCTTCCCATTGACAACTGTCACCTCAACAGAAGTTTCATCAGATGGGTGGTTTTCAAAGATGATAAACTAGCCCAATAATTTGGTAGGTTTTCTTCCTGATGCTTCAAAATTCAGTACTTAAAATTTCAGACTGCCTATCTTATTAATATGATCTGTATTGTATGTAGGTCTGAGAACCTCAGTTAGTCAGAATTTAGCAAATTCCATGACTGCTAGGATTTAACACTTGGTCAGTCCACATGAATGAGTATTATTGAGAGTAGAATCTGATAGTTTTTCTCAATAAAATATTTTATTTATTTAAATGGAATGGTCATAAGTAATTCAGGTAAGAGAATGAAATAATGAAACAAACCATCCTACTATCCCATTAGTGAGTGAACAGATAAGACGAATAAAATAAACCAGCCTACTATCCATAAAACCCAGTTAAGTGAACTTTGCTTACAACAATGCAGGTTTAAGATGTAATTTATTTTTATTTTTTCAAGATGTAGCTTAAATCATCCAGAATTGGTGCTATAAAAAACATTTACACTCTCAGATCATATCAAACAAATCTTAAAACTTGTATGAGATGATCTGACTCCCATGACCAATACCCAAGATTCAAGTTGTTTAAAATTATTTACTATTAAATTCCTAATAAAACCATCAAATAATTATATCACAAATGTCCAAGAAAATCATATTTGAAAATGTGTATGTATGGAATCTCTTAGTCATATACATTTGGAACCTTGAAATAAATAATTCTAAAATAATCTCTGAGATGTAAATACCACAATACTGATTTGGGGAAACATAGAATACATTTAGCATCTAATTTAAAGGCATCAACTCAACATTATATTAAAATTTTTTTTACGTTTATTTATTTTTGAGAAACAGAGAGAGACAGAGCACAAGTGGGGGAGGGGCAGAGATAGAAGGAGACACAGAATCCGAAGCAGGCTCCAGGCTCCGAGCTGTCAGCACAGAGCCCAATGAGATTCAGGGCTTGAACTCACAAACTGCGAGATCATGACCTGAGCCAAAGCCAGATGCTTAACCGACTGAGCCACGCAGGTGCCCCAATATTATCTTAGAGATGATTGGGGCACCTGGGTGTTTCATTTGGTTAAGCATCCAACTTCAGCTTAGGTCATGATCTCACAGTTGGTGGGCTTAAGGACCACATCAGGCTCTGCGCTGATAACTCAGAGCCTGGAGCCTGCTTCAGATTCTGTTTCCCTTGCTCTCTCCCCCTCACCCCCTTGTGCACACACACTCTCTCTCTCTGAAAAAGAAATAAATAAACATTAAAAAAAAAAAAGACTGACAATGCCCGGTTACAAAGGAAGGTTCTCATTTATTTTCAACATATCTTTTCAATTATTTATGTTAAATGTGGATACCCAACTTAGAAGCATAAGTGGCCAATCTATTGCATTATCAGATCATAGAATCCTCCAGCTCAGGATTGGAAAATACCTTGACTATTATGTATGTCAACAACTCGTCCAATTATATTATCCCCTGTATTCTATTAATTCCAGGGCCAACAGCTTACTTTTGAAAGGAGCTAATAATAGAACCTCTTACCTCCTAGGCAATCCACTTTCCATTAGAACAACTTCAACAACTCAAAACCTTGCTTTTTTCTACTCATCAAACCACAGTTTCATTCACACCTTTGGGCCATGATGAATGAGACTAATTCTTCTAATGATAGCTCTCCTTTCCTTAAATATTTGGATAGAGTTTCTATATGACAGAAACCTTATTTTATGTGGGTTAAATATGCTAAATTATTTAAATTCTTATTTGAACACTATCAATCCTTCATTCTCCCATTCAATATTCAGTTCTCTAATTTTTAGAGATACATCCTTGTAAGTGGACACTAATAAGCATAGTTAGAAATTCATTTCGGGAGTGCATGGGTGGCTCATTTGATTAAGCATCTGGCTTCATCTGGGATCATGATCTCCTGTTTCGTGAGTTCCAGCCCTGCATCAGGCTCTCTGCTGTCAGCACAGAGCCTGCTTCGGATCTTCTGTCTCCCTCTCTCTCTGCCCCTCCACTGCTTGTGCACAATAGTGCACTCTCTCTCCCTCAAAAATAAACATTAAAAATTATTTTAAAAATTCATTTGCACTCTTAAGTACTATCAAGCACACATATTGCAGAAGACATTATAGTAGGCATACAGCATCAGATGCTTACATTTGTTAACATGTTAACAATCACAATTATAATACTGGTGATGTCAACAAATACTTGTTCACTATACTACTTTATAGTTGAAAAAAACTTTAATTATTTTGTTATATTTTCTCAGAATTTGTGTGAAGTAAAGAAGACAAGTCTTTTTAATTTAAATTTTACTTTAAAAACTATAGATATTGTGACTGGCCCGAGATGAATAACAAATAGTTCCAGGAATGTTATTCAGGCTAACACCAAAGATCGGGTCTTCTCTGCTACAGAGATCAATTACTTTTATCTTTCATAAAAATAATTTTTGATTCCTAAGTAGTAAAGGGGGAAAATATCTCTCACAAATCTCCATTATTTTAGAAAGCACGTGCTATTAATTAAAATCGGGGGAAACTGAGACCTTGATCTTAACAATTCAGTTTTTTTTTACATTAGAAAAAGAATCTCACGGGGCACCTGACTGGCTCAATTGATTGAGGGTCTCTGGATTTCACTCTGATTTTCAGCTCAGGTCATGATCCCAGGGTGGTGGATGGATCCCCACTTCAGGCTCTGCCAACATGGGATATACTCTCTCTCTCTTACTCTCTCTCTCTCTGCCCCTCCCCTGCTCAAACACTTTCTCTCTCAAAATAAATTAAAAACATTTTGAAAAGAAAAAGAATCTCACAAATGTCACAAGGCAGGAACACACACACACACACACACACACACACACACACACACACACACACTCTAACAGAAGAAATGAACGAAACCCAAGGCAGAAAGAGCTTGCCAGCAGAAAGGTAAAGAAAATCTGCATCATACATTAAGATTTTTTTCATGAAATTAGACGAAACTAAGATTTAATAGAGTTCAACTGATATTTTAAAAATTCTCAAAATTGGGGCGCCTGGGTGGTGCAGTCGGTTAAGCGTCCGACTTCAGCCAGGTCACGATCTCGCGGTCCGTGAGTTCGAGCCCCGCATCAGGCTCTGGGCTGATGGCTCAGAGCCTGGAGCCTGTTTCCGATTCTGTGTCACCCTCTCTCTATGCTCCTCCCCCGTTCATGCTCTGTCTCTCTCTGTCCCAAAAATAAATAAACGTTGAAAAAAAAATTCTCAAAATTGACGCACTGCAAAGACTAAGAAAACTAAGCACTGATCAAAGAAAATTTTAAACGTTCTTGTTCAAATAAGACCAATAAAAAGAATAACCTCACCTGAACAAGGGAGTCTTCCTCTTTACAAAAACCTGAATCTTCCTGAATCAAAAGAGGCTCGCTTTTCCCACAGCTATCTCCGCTGATAAGCGTGTCGGCATAGTTGGGCTGGGGGAAGATCACGTGACTCTCCCTGGAGTCCGCCCTGACCGAGACCTCCCGGGAGTAGGTCTGCAGAAAAGCGCGCACTCCGTCCACGCCCACAAAGCTCGAGGCGGGCACGCCCGCCAATCCAACCCCCGCAGCCTGGAGTAGACGGGACGAATGCCAGCGCCTCAGCCTGAGTCCCAGCAGCACGATCACAAAGGCAAGGAAGACGCAGGAGACTGCGGCCACCGCCACCACCAGGTACAGCGTGAG